TAAAACAGTGACTGAAACTTGATTTTTGACCCCTGATTACTCCTAATCTGTGCAATAATTTGTTGAACTAATCACACCATTGTGTAGAGCTATGCGAGTACTACATAATTGCTTAAAGGAGTTTGATCTAATTCCCAATGGTTTTCAAATGAAAATGCTCCAAAGTAGTGTCCATTGAAACTGAAAACCAGTTTAGGACTTAGAAAAAAATTCCAAGTTTCAAAACATCATCAAGTTGATTTTTGTGAGCTCTATTTGACCATGTTAGGCACTAAATTAGCTCTTGGCCCTTAAACAAAGTTTGTTCCTCATAAGATAAGCTACAACTTTTATTAAGGTCCCACAGCCATGCAAGCTCTCTAAGCTATTGTTCAACTTTGGTCAAACTAGCATCATGAAAAAGGAATTTCAATGTAAACCAACACTTAGAAGCATAATTGGGCTAGATCATGAATACAAACATGGTTCCATTTTCCATCCTAAGTGTGTCTAAGGTGTTTTAGTGACCAAACAACAATCACTTGCATTAGCCAAGCATTATCACAAGTAGATACATGTATAATTAAGCACCACATGTGATAACATAGAGTGTATGAAATGAAATTTCATATGCTAATGCTCATGAATGAATGAGTGATGCTTATGCTCATGCAAATGCAAGTGCAAAGTGTAAGCTTAACACTAGGGTGTTACACCAGTCCACCTGGAGAAGTGAGGCATGAAGTACCAAGGAAGTAGGGGAGTAGCTAGTGGTGACCGAGGAAGAGAGTGTAACCGACTGCCAGAGGCTAGAGTACTAGGCCGACGGCATCGGATGGGGAACACAGATGGGAGGGGAGCATGTCAAAAGAAGGGAGAGGATGCAGACTCAGGTGGTGGCCGAGGAGGCGAGAACGAGGACATCAGATGTTAGGGTTAGGGAGAATTTATATCTAGCAATAGATCAAAATCTATTTTAATTTATTTTGTTCTTTTAAATACTACTATGAGATGACCTCTCAGTTCTTTTGTGTATAGAAATTTTTTAGTGTCTCTTCATTTCTCTATGACATTTAGTAGGAACGCGATGTAATGATTGTTACTAAGGTGGAAGCCAACGAATGGCAATCAACGGATGGATAGATCTAGCTAGCAATAGTTGATGACATGGTTCACTATGGGATATGATAGAATTGATAGTGAAAATTAGCTTTATATAAGAGATACAGATACAGATACAGATACAGATACAGATATAGATATATATATAGATATAGATATAGATATAGATAAAGATAAAGATATAGTAACATGTGAAATAAATATATAGATGCTTGATTTAGTTCTAGAAAAGGGAAGGACGCCTATGTAAATTACGACTTAGAATGGACATGTAGTACCAAAGAGGAATTCTATCAAAATTTTTGTTTCTCCCTACCAACATATGAGTTATGGGCTCTCATATATATTAAAAGAAACTAACACAAGTGATGTTGTGACCATTTTCTTAGAAAAGAACAAGTGTCAAGGATCATGTACATGTCTTCTCTAATAAAAAGTAGGATAACTAGTTAAATCCTTATGTTTTAAAAAATAGAACATTGTGAAAAAATGAGCTAGTTCAACTACAAATAAAACAACATGAACTATAGTGTCTTAATTAAAAAAACAACCTCATCTACTTATAAGAGCTGAGCTTCCCGATGAAGCTGTTCATGCACATGATGCGATAATGCTGGGTCTTGACTATAAAAATTTCCATCAAACAAAGTTTAGCGTAACCCACTTGACCATGAAATATCTGTCAAAACAAAGTTTTTAGTGCAAACCCCTAGTATCAAACTGCTTTATTCCTTCTACAACTCACTTGAGATATCAAATGGTAGCCATATCACGCGCAAAAAGAGTTTACTAGACAAATATTCACAAAGTGCTGTTAGCCATTTGCACTACAATCCATAGTAAAATCTTCTCAAACAAAGATGTTAAACCATGTTATCCTTTCAAATTAAATTTGACCTACTCCTCTATCAAAACATATCCCTCTAGTTCATTTTCATTCTTGTATTCATTTTAGTAGCACCAAATATATATAGATTTCAAATTTTAAACATGTTCAAATAACTTGTCATAGCAAAATGTCCAGTACATATATGCCCGGATGTGACAAAGAAAAGAAAATGAAACAAATAAGTTCATGATTAACTCAAACATCTAACAATATAACTAAATGGTAGTGCAAATTATACCTTTTAACATTCTACGGTTTATGCTCATGTGTCGCTACCACTTTCTGGATGGATACTTAAAGACATATCACAAGCACAAGGTGATGTCGTGCCTAGGTACGCCCTTTAGTCTGGTTAGCTTGAAAAATACATTTAGTTATCAAGAAGGATGAACTTCTTGCTGTAGTTGTAATTTGAGTTCTAGAATTTTATTCTTATCTCTGAACATAAGTATCTCTATTTGTAACAGGTGGATCAATCAAGTTTAAAGTTTAGAAGAATGGACATAGACAATACATCAGAGAATATATATAGCTCTATGATTTGTTGATTTTGATAAAAAACATCCAGATTAAAAAAATATGATAATAATAAGCCATCTATGCTGACAAGGTTACTAATAACATCAGGTGGGAGTAAGCCAATTGGAGCATAACTGAAATCTCCATCAGCCATGTTTTACCCTTGTTTTTAACTTCTATAAGTGCAGTTGATTACTCAAGAATACATGCACTTAATATATCATATTTTTATTAGCAAGCAAAAGTATAAGGTTATTATTGATTGAATGCATCGCTCTAGCGATGAAGCATAGATTCCAAAGTTTTGCCTCTCTATTGCTACTCCATTTCTCTAATCACACCATTGCATCTTTTTTTTACAAACCTAAGTTCAACATAGTTCCACATATATAGACACTCAGCTCGCATATACATCAATTCTATGAACATTATTAGTTCATGTAATCGTACATCTAAAAGCATTATTTACTTGTGGAATTTTTTTTCCATAGCTAACATGTGATGCCATCATGACTGATTTACCCATTCATGCACACCCCACTACATAAATTCCTTAATTAAAAACACACAAGTGAGTCACCTACTATTGAGCTAGTTGATATGAGTAACATACAATATCTAGTGCTTATCTATGCATGCTCGTCGTATAAATCATTAATTTTTGAGTGAGTTAGCTTTCAACTGTTAAGCCATCACGAGACATATAACGAATAACGTGATTCTTCACTGTTACATGCATGTTCCCTCTCTATAAATCACTAGACACCAAGTAGACTAAAAACCTAAACCATGCAGTCTACAAGTTATAAAAAACACGAGCAAACCAAATGGGTTGTCAATCACTAAATCATGAAACCACAATGAAAGTGATGTCCATAGTTAGTGATGATAAAGAAGGCTAAGCAAAAATGATAGTTGTGATAGCTTACTAGTGATATAACCACTAGAGAGTCCTAGAGAATATAAGAAATATCTAAAGGCGAATATTGACCTAATAGGTGCAGTTGACTACTCAAGGATACATGCACTCAATATATCACATTTTACCAGCAAGCAAAGGTATAAGATTATTATTGATTGAACACACCGCTCAAGGGAGAAAGCATATAGGTTCCAAACTTCCCTTCTCCATTGCTTGTTCTTTCCTCCAATCACACCTTTCCATAGTGTTGTTCCGCCCCTTTTTTTACAAACTTAATAGTTTCAACACAGTTCCACATATATATCAACCGGAGGAAACCATCAATTCATGTAATAGTAGTACATCCAAGAGCATTATTTACTCATGTGATTCTTTTTCTCCAAGTAACATATGATGTTGTCGTTTATGATTTACTCGTCCATGCAGATCCCACTACAGAAAGTCGTTAACTAAACCATACGAGTGAGTCACCGACCGTTGATGTAGCTGATATGAGTAACATATAACGGTTTCCATTACCTATGTATGCATGCCCACCATGCAATTAATCCTTGGGATCTGAGTTAGTGGTCGGCCGTTAGGCATATAAGAACATCGCTAAAACCCTAAAAACATACTGTCTACAAAGTCACTAAACACCGGCAGACGAATTGAATTGTCGATCAAAAGAACTAGCCGTTCCCTGGAATCCTCAAACCTCAAATCCAGCTTTGTTTGTCTCCCCGCCCGTCCCGTGCGCACCGGGCAGCGGCGACTCCAGTAGTCCAGTGTGACAACGAGCAGAGCTGAAAAATGGAGGGAAAATGTCAGTCCACACAACCACACCCCCAAACATTCAAAAACCAAATCGTGACACTGACCTCTCGTACCCCACAACCCTCCCCGGGGTCTCCTCAGGCACGAAACCAGATCAAACCCCACTCAACGCAACCCACCCCCACGCAGGCACGCAGCCTCGGCCCGCGTTTCCACGGCCCCGGCTGCGGCGCAGGCCCCGCGCGTCAGTTACCGCTGCCCACCCACCCAACGGGCACACTATCAACGCTGGCGCCCGCAGGCCGCAGCGCCGGATGATCCCAAAAACAAAACAAATAAGAGGGCTCAACAAATACACCCCCCAGGAAAACGCGAGAGAGCACAGCACAAGGCCGCCGGTCCCTTGTCTCCCAGTTCCCACTACTCGCCGCTCCTGCTCAACCCGCCCGCGGCGCCTGGCCGGAGATCCAGCCGCCGGGAGCGCGGAGGTCGGCCGGTTGCTCCCGTTTCCGCTGGTGAGTGATTCGTCCTGGCTGTTGCTGGGGAGGGGTGGATGGATTCCCTTGTTCAAGGAGTTGTTTTTTTTCCTCTATCTCTTTGTTCGGGGAAGGAATCCAAATCTCCCTTTGTTCCTGCTCGGTTTGGTGCGGACTTTTGTGCCGAGTGGTGCCGTACTGACCTATTCCTCCGTTCGGGTGGTTTGATTAGGTGGTTGCTCTTCGCCGCTGGAGATCGACAGACGGAAGCAGTTGACGCCACAGGGCTTCGTGCTGCCGAATTCCCCAGAAATTTTGGGGGTTCAACCGAACCCCCATGCCCAACGCCACTGTGAGTTGCTTCCTGTCCCAAATTTCCCCGGGAATTACGCTTCTTTATTGGGGCTATGTTTTTGCTTGCTTGCTTCCTTTTCCGGTAGGGTTGCTGCTGGCGGAGTCTTTGCTTCAGACTACTTTTTGTTTTCTTTTTCTGGGAAACGAATTAAAGTAGTCACTTGTGGTACATTTTTTTTGCCCGTTATGTTTTGCATTGTCCGGAATTTCTTAATCATGTCGGAGTAGGTTTAAACTAGGGTTTAGGGCAGGCTGTGCTGTTTAGTTGGCTTACCATCTCGTGAAATCTAGATGAGAGAAATAGTGGAGTTTGATCATCTGATGAGGTTTTTGATCTTCTGCAGGGGCTTCGAATGGCCAATAAAGGCTCTACTAAGGGAGCTCCAATGCCAGGAATGGAAGGAAGTGTGGCAAAGGATTTGAAGAAGGCTCCTGCCTTCTTGGAGGAAAACAAGTCTTCTGGTGATGAGGATCTTGGCGGAGGGCCTGCCTTGACTGGGAAGAAAAGGAAGGACCGGAGGGGTTCTGCGGATGAGGACAGGAGTGGTGTGACAAAAAGGGTGTTGAGGTCCGATGCCATGAAGCTGCGTGCTGAGGCTGAGGCAGCCTGTGGAGTGGGTGCGGAGGTTGGCAAAACTGACAGTTTGGAGACGAAACACTGTGAGGCTATTGTGGAGGCTGAGGCTTGCAAAGGCAGGGTGCTGATGGAAGTAACTTGCAATGGTGAGGAAGCCAATGGATTGGATAACTTGGACGCGAGCGATGTCTCGGAAGAGTCAGCTAGGTGTTCTGAGAATAATATGGGAATGCCTGGTGTTCCTGCAACAGATATTTCTCAAGGTGATGGCTTAGGCACTCAAGGTAGCAATTCAGAATCAGATGATAAGACAGTCAAATCAGATGAGAAGGTGTCCGCTGTAACTCATTCAGAGCAGAATGACTCCAGAGCTGGAATAAACAGTTTGAGTGTTGATGAGGCCCAAGATAACAAAGTGAGACATGGGCCTTGTCAGGGTGAGGTCATAGATTCAGCAATTGCTGATGATGCCAACACAAGTACAGATTTAACCAAAACCATCCCTACCAGTGGATCAGAATCTGTTAAGCAGGAGGATAGTAAGCAGGAGAATAATGTGGTTCATACTGAGGAAGTGATACTCCACAGTAGTGATCCGAAAATTGAGAAGCATTCTCACATTGACGATGTTTGTACAGAAACCGACATTTCTTTGACTGAGAATGGAAGATGCACAGTAGATAACCACACTGATCTAACTGGGTGCACTAAGCAGGAGGAGAGGGGAAGCCCCGTGAACGAAGCCAATGATGTTTCATCACATGACATTGTCTTTACAAGGAGAGGTAGAAAATCATGTGAGGCAAAGCAGGGGACATGTGGAGAGGAGTCGCGGTTTGAGAAGCGAGTTACAAGGTCAGCTACAGTTAGGCAGAGAGAAGTTTCTGGAAGCTCACATAAAACTACCACAAATGAGGCTGCACTAGGAAGCAGAGGGAGGAAGGGAGATATTGTTGCTCATTATACAAGGAAAATGAGCAGTGCAGTATCTCCAAAAGGTCACCATGCTGAGCTAGGAGAACGTAATACCAGTATGGAGAAGCAAGCAGTGAAAGAAAAGGTGGCTGATCGAAGAGACTCAGGTGTTACTGAGAATGATAATCATGTGAATGCCACAGAGAATAAGGAATCAGAAAATGAAACAGAGATCAATTTGAAGACACAACCACCTGTGGGAAGTGTCAGCATTCTTAAGAAAACAACTGGAGCAGCTGTTTCTGCGGTGGATCAGAATATCTCTGGTTCAGCCATCACTGAGAGAAATGATATGGAGCATACTGATTCTGATGGAGTTAAATCTGAAAATAAGACTCCTGTGCAGAAACCACTACTGTCTGTTGGTGCGAAAATTGTTGCCAGCAAGAAGAGGATATTGGAAGCAGGGCTTGATAAAATCACTGGAAAGTCACCAATTGCTTTGCCAGCCATGAAGAAAAGAAATACGTCTTCTGATCCTGAGATAGACCAACCAAATAAGTCTTCTGGAGAGAAGCTTATTGGGAATAACTGTGATTTGGGCAATAAACGTGTTCTGAGGGAACGGCAGCATCGCAATCAAACAAATTTATCAAGCAGATCTTCTAACCACTCTAATCAAAATGCTATCAAGCAGACACAGGATCAATCTGATGATGATGAGATCAGCAGTGATACTTCCTACAGGAGAACTCGTAGCGGACGTCGTCGTGGTGCTGCCCGTCTTGTCGTGCCAAAACAAGAGGACTCCAGTGATTCTGAAGAAGTTATTGTTGTGAAAAAGAATCGGCGGAAAAGGAAGAAATCTGTGCATAAACAAAGGGCTGGATCTAAGTTGAAGCATACTTCTGGTCCTTCCAAAGCAGGTCGTTTGGGTAGACCTCCTCTGATCAAATCTGAATCTAGCTCCTTATCTCTGCAGCCAGGAAAAGGGAAAATGAAGGTGCCTGAAGGTACAGGAACTCTTCGTGAAGAAAAGCAAAAAATAAGTGATCAGATAAAGGCCATGCTTCTAGATGCTGGCTGGACAATTGATTTAAGACCCAGGAATGGTAGAGACTACATGGATTCCGTGTATATACCTCCTAGTGGCAAAGGGTCTTACTGGTCAGTCACAAAAGCATATTATGCGTTTCGTGCAAGTATGGAATCTGAGCAGAAGGAAAGTTCTAAAGACCAGACTTTGTCAAAAAAATCTGTTGGTAGCCCTGGCAAAATGCAGGTCTCTGGTTCTTCAGGTTGTACTTTAACAGAGGATATCCTTAGCAAATTAAAAAGAATTGTTGTAAACAAACGAACAACCAAAGTAGCAATTCAAAGGTTGAGACAGAAAAGGTTCAAAAAGGAAAAGAAGAAGAACACTACGAATTCAAGAAGACTGCACTTAGGCAATGAAAGAAAAAAACGAGGTGGTTGTGCTCTACTTGTTCGTGGATCGAACAAGGAGTCTGGCAGCGGCACTGATGGTTTTGTTCCATATGAATGGAAACGTACAATCTTCTCCTGGCTGATTGATCTGGATGTTCTATCAGTCAACACTAAGCTGAAATGTATGGATGAAAGCCACTCAAAGGTTTTACTAGAGGGTATTGTCACTAGGGATGGGATTAACTGCAGCTGCTGTAGCGAGGTCCTTTCAGTGCTTGAATTTGTAGCTCATGCTGGTTCTGAAGTAAATAAGCCATACAGAAACATACTTGTGGATGGGCTAGACATTGACCTTTTGCATTGTCTCATTAATGCATGGAATATGCAGTCTGATGCTGAAAGGCAAGATTTCTTTCCTGTTAGCATTGAGGGTGATGACCCCAATGATGACACCTGTGGTATCTGCGGCGATGGAGGCAATTTGATCTGCTGTGATGGATGCCCCTCGACATTTCACATGAGTTGTCTAGGACTGGAGGTATGCATTTATGCCTTTCACACGAGTACTGTTATTGGCTGTTGTCTTAATTGTTTTTCATTAACCGTAACGTTTCTTTTGATTGAATCAACTAATGGCAGTATTTTAATTTATGTACCTTTTTTTTCAAATTTAGCTGTTACTGCATTAGGACATGATCGAAAACTTGCAATGCCCAATAATAGTGCTCCCAGTTTTCTGTACTGATAAGACTCATTAAAACTTTTCGGCACATCATTCTCTAATCTATTGAATTTCCAATTTTGCAGGAACTTCCCTCTGATTATTGGTGTTGTGCAAACTGTTCATGTAAATTTTGCCATGAACATTCTAGTGATGGTGCTGAAGACACTGCTGATGTTGATTCTTCATTTCATACTTGTTCCCAGTGCGAAGAGCAGTGTATGTGATCCCTGTTTATACTTTTTCAGTAGTTCTTTCGAATTTTGAAGTCTTTGATACTTTTTATTCCGCATTTTCATTATTATCTTACTATATTATGTTGATGCTCAATCATGTCTTTGAGTATTCCATACAATAATGTCTGCAGATCATGAAGCCTGCTCTCCTGAGAATGATTCCATAACTAACCTTTCCAGTCAGACAGGCAATTTATTCTGCCAACAAAGCTGCAGACTGGTAACGCTTGTCAGACTATTGTTCTTTTTCCCTTGACCTTGTTTCTGGATATACTACCTTGTGGTTTTCATGAGCATAATTCAAATGGTGACACTTGCTATTTTACTTTGATGTTTGAGGCAGACATCGTTTCCTTTTTGTTAGTGGCTCATGTTGGGTATGGGACTAAAAGGCTTTGCTGTTGTTATATGTCTGAGACCTCAGTCATTAAATATATGCACCATCTTTCATCTCTCTACTCTGTCAGCTTCCTTTCTTGATTATGCATATATGCTATTTCCTTCTGTGTCCAAGTATCTGTACTTGATATAATACCAATCTCATGTGCAACGTACATATATTCAGGCCACTGGTTTTTATTTACATGAATTCCATTACTATAAGTGATTACATATAGTAAGTTACTGTATGGGTGTGGTATTTGAACTCTTATTTAGTGACATGAGAATCTTGTCATTTCAGTCCAACTATTAAAAGTTCTACTCTTCTTCTGAATTTAGTGCCTATATTTCTCCCCAGACCCCGCACAGAGCGGGAGCTCTCTGCACTGGGTACGCCCCCCTTTATTTCTATTTTTGAAACTAGACAATTGGTATTTAGTCTTAAGAAATGTCAAATGCGAAAGCACCATGGAAGTTGTGTCTTTTAAAAAATGCTCTATTAACCACTAGTTTTTTTTACCATCAAACACACTTCCTGTCTAGATGCTCTATATCTATTTGTTGTTTTATTTATCTTCTCGTTTGTTAATGTATGTATACCCTCCTATGCCCCAACTGACCCAAGAAGTTCCAATGATATAATTACAGAATCTAAAATCTCTATTTCTGTGATGCAGCTGTTTGAGGAATTGCAGAATCTTCTTGCAGTCAAGAAGGATCTTGAACCAGAATATTCATGCAGAGTTGTTCAACGCATCCATGAAGATGTACCAGAAGAAGTCCTTCCTTTGGACATAAGAGTTGAGTGTAACTCCAAGATTGCTGTTGCACTTTCATTAATGGATGAATGCTTCCTTCCGATTGTTGACCAGAGAACTGGAGTCAACTTGATACGCAATGTTGTGTATAGCTGTGGGTATGCATCTATCTTTCTACAAGGTTGCCGTAATCCATGCAGTTTCAAGTATCCTTTGTACAACGTGCAAGCTGTTGATACAATGGCCTTTTAATTCATTCCACACTATTCTCTCTCCCACCCACCTTCTGTGTATTGGCGGGGCTATCGGGTTGAGCTGATTAGACAATATTACTGAACTTGTTGCTCATTGTTAACTTGTCATCTCTGTGCATAATGGAGAAGTGCATAGCTCTTCATAGATTGACCTGCGTATATTAAATGGGTTTTCTCGTCATAAATTTAACTGCTTTTTAGTATTCTGGAGATAGTAAAGATTTTAGCCCTGTTAATTTTGGATGTTGAGTCATTTTTGGTAATTCTAATAATATAACAATCTTCATCGTTTTCTCTATTTTCATCTGTAACAACTTAGATCATATCCTTATGGTATAGGGGGCCATTGGCATATTGTAGTATGTAAGGGATAATTTAAACTAATTTGCTCCATTACGTACTGAAATTCAACTATATACTGAAGTAAACCCTGACAATGCATACAATGCACATAACACCATCTGTGCTTTTAACCACTGTTGACCTGCAGCCTTTCTGTTAGTCCATTCACAACCTGCCATTCTGTTCCGGCTTTTGCAGTCCTTTCATGCTTTAGGTGTTCCAGGGTGTCAACTTGATGCAATCCTAACTTTGAAAAGTTCCTAATATGGTAGTTTAGCTAGGGATAGGTATGAATGGGTAGTACCATTAAGTGGAAGTGGTATGTGGCCTTATGTGGGATCGAACTTAGAAAATTATTATTGGAACCATGATATGTGATACGTGCCAAATATACATCATATATAGAATAAAAAAGGAAGCAAAGGCTCTAAGCACCAAATTTTCACCTGGACATACATCAAATAACAAAAGGAAGCAATGGACCATGCGATTAGTGGCACCATCAAAATGTAACCCCCACATTTCCAATTTATTAATGTAATCTATCAAAAAAGCGCTTGATGGGTCGCTGGTTGATTTAATGGCCTCATTATTGCTTGGAACGATTTTTTTTTTGTTGATGTGTAAATTGGCGTATTCTTTTAACAGTTACAGTTTTCTGTATTGATGCCATGCTGCCGTGGCAACTTTTGTCGGAGATAACTAATTGCTCCTTTTGTCTTTCCTTGCATGCAGATCAAATTTTGCCCGATTGGATTTCCGTGGATTCTATGTATTCATTTTAGAACGTGGAGATGAAATAATAGCTGCAGCATCTGTCCGGTGTGTTGTTTCCTCTTATTTTCTTTTTCTTGCTATGTTTTGTGACTGTCTAGGCATCTATATGGCACTGAATGCTGTATCCAGTGAGATATATACCCAAGCTATATAGATCTGAATACCAATTTGGTGAAATGGATAAGAAAGAACCATACAGTAGGCTCTAAAAAACCCTTGAACAAGCCAAAGTTTGTCCCAATGTGCCAGCAAAAGATATTCTAAACAAGCAACCATGGCGGGGTCCGGTGTTCTTTGAATTGAATCAATTCATTTCTAACTAATTTTCAAACACAGTGACTTGACTTTGCATATTTCTAGTACTGGTGATCTTGTTTACTGCCTAACTTTAGTATAGAGCTGTACCCGTTACTCACTTGAATTACTTTACACGATCGTTGTAACCATTGTATATTCCAGTTTGAAAGAAAAGAACATCCTTACTGGAATGCCTACTTGCCTAGTATTTTGCTGTACAGGTCATGGCTTGGCGCTGAATAATAATCTATGGTATCTGCAGTCTCATGGAGGCAAACTTCCCTTTATCTTTCTTAACTAAGAAGTTTTTAATGCTTCTTCTAGGAAGGTTCATTTCATGTTTTCACGAATATAGTTTGCATAATTAATCATGCATGTGTGTGAACTTTCTGTAGCTTGCTAATACACATCTGTCAAGGCATGTTATATACCTTGTATTTTTTTTTCGTACATGAAATTTCTGTAGCTGTTTTGTGGCTGTCTTGTTACATCATTGGATGAACAGTTAACATAACCTGACAGGCTCTCTACTTTTAGCTTGCTAATATAATTTTTTTGTTTTCATATCTTATCCTGGAACAGAATACATGGAACCAAGTTAGCTGAGATGCCGTTCATTGGTACCCGGAATATGTATAGGCGACAAGGAATGTGCCGCCGACTTGTAGATGGAATCGAAATGGTATGCATGTTTGATGGTGCTATTGCTAGTGTAGGACAGCAATTATTTGCAGAAAATGCATTTAATCCTTCGGTGATAGTGCCCTAGTTTTATTAGTAGCACTTGTATTGAATAGTAGCCCCATGGGCGTTATATATAGGAGTTCGAGTCCAGCACGATATATAGGATTCGATTGCTTAACCCCTTGCATGTTACAAAGGTATTCCTTAGCTTATGTGTGCTTTTTCTGATTTGTACAATCCTTGAACTGCTGAACTAGTCTACGCCTTACATGGTTGAACCCACTGTGGAGCATTACTTGTATTTTCAGAAATGTCTGCAACTACCAGTCTAGCATAGCATTGATGATTACCATAGTAGGTTAGATTAACTGATCTGATATCTTGCTTAGTTGCACTTTTCTGATGGTGTTTAATTATTGCCCCTTGTTTTCTATGTCAGATCCTGAGCTCTCTCAATGTTGAGAAGTTGATCATTCCTGCTATCACAGAACTTGTGGACACCTGGACATCTAGATTTGGATTTAGTCCACTTGAGGATTCTGAGAAGGAAGAAGTGAAATCTATTAGCATGTTAGTTTTTCCTGGTACAGGTCTTCTCCAAAAGCCATTGCTGAATTCCTTACCTAACGGAGATCAAAGTTCTCAAGGAGGTCAGAGCAGACACCATATTCCTTGTTGATATCCCAATTATTTTCTTTTCCTTCTGTATAATGGTCATCAGACATTTATACAGCTGGTGCTGTTTCCTCTGTAGACAAAACTGAGAAATCACCTGATGTAGCCAATGAAGATTCTCTTTGCTCTGATGCAAGTGCTGATCCCCTAGGTTTGGGGGTCAAAGAGCATGGGGACAACAGCAAAAATGCTGATGGTACTTGCAACGGTGCTGTTTCACAACAATCTCCCCATTCTTGGTAAGTGCAAGTAAAGCTTACATGTTTGGTTGAGATATTGATACAATAGTGTAAATATTACAATGTTGAGACAAACCACCTAGTTTTATTTCGTAGTCTAGTTAAAATATTCTGCTGTATAGGGTGATGGAGGTAGATATCTTTGTCGGGTGCCACAAGATAGCTGTAAATGTTCGTATCATTCCATTACCATTACATGTGTCTCATGACCTTTTTTTTTAATCTTTGTTGCAGATGGTAAGATTTGGTTGCAAGCTTTCTGGGCCCCAAGCTTTACATGGACGAAGCCTCCTTTTGTTTTTGTACCTCTTGAGTTTTGACTCAGCAGTTTGCATGACATCCATCCGTTGGCAGAAAGAGGCTTGCGGTTTTTTGCAGATTATTAGTTGCTGGGGCACCCCTGTAGTTTTTACTCAGAAATTGACGGTTCAATTGACTCGTCGGTCGGCCTGGGAAGAATCAGCCTGTGCAGTACTGAAAAGCGTTAATTCCAGCCAGCTAACTTGATGTGCAGCTGAAAAGTCAGCATGTAGAATGTGGAGGATAGTTCCCCTTCTTTTGTTTTTTCGTCGTTAACTTAAACTCCGAGGGCGAATGCAGCCACCAAATGGTCGTAAATGTTACACCAGTTGTTATTTTGTTAATAGCTTTATCTTTTCGCTAGCGCATTCCTGGAATCATCTCTCGTTTCTGTAAGATAATTCTCATCTCTGTAAGATAAACTGATGTATGCGCAAAGCCAGAAATAGTGCACCTGATCCGTCGTGCGGAATCGGTTACCTAATCCCTGTTTTGGTCCGAGAATTCGCTTTGCCACCATGGTTTCTTTTTGCATGAAGGGGTCGCCACCGGCACCGGCGTCGTGGCCTGGCATGGCGACAATCCAATCCTTGGTAAGGGGTTCCGTTGCGCCCGGCGGCCCGGGGGGTCATCGACGGCCGAGCTGGCGCGGTCCATGCGGACGTCAGGGTCAGGCTGCTACCCCTCCTATCCGACAGCTTTGTCAGGTGGAGGGAGGAAAGGAAAAGAGCTTTGCGGGGGAGGAAATCACGGCGCGAATGAAGCCAACGACGGACGATGCTGACCTCCCTCCCAGGCTGTGGCTGCTGGCAGAGCTCCAGCCAACAGCACCAAATCGTTACGACTGTTGTGCGCGGGCTTTTGGCCCAGTCACTAGTCTTGCTGGGCTTCCCTAATCCAAATTCCTGGGCGTACGAGTACGAACAGACAAGAGCCAATCTTTGCTGTTGCTCAAAAAAAAGAAAGAAAGAAAGACGAGAGCCAATCTGGTGCTGCCAATGTAAAGACTTCTACTTTTATTGTTCGTCTTTATCATAAAACAATACTCCCTCCATCCCAAATTGTAAGTCATTTCAAGAATCTTGAAGAGTCAAAGCATCTCAAGTTTGACCAAGTTTATATAATAAGATAATAACATTTATGATTCCAACTAAGTACTAATAGATTCTTTGTTAATTATATTTTTATAGTATACCTATTTGATGTCATAAATCTTTGTAATTTTTTTATAATTTTGATCAAACTTGAGAAGCTTTGACTCTCCAAGATTCTTGGAATGACTTACAATTTAGGATGGAGGGAGTACATGATTAACCATTGTGTGCCCGGCCATTCCGCATGCGTCATACATAAGCACGACGTCGTGCGGCGTCATCGTCTCGCCGGCTTCGACGAGGGCGCTGCCCACAGCCACGTCGCAGAGGCACCCGCAGATATCGACGGCAGCGACCACCGCCACGCAGCAACCGGGGCTCGGGACCGACTTGTCGGTGCAGTCTTCCACGATGGTCGCCGCGAGCCGGTGCTCGTCGCAGGTGTCGTGGGCCTTCTTCTCCTTCTCCCGCAGCTCGCTCGCCACAGCTGGCGCGCCCGCAGTCGCCGGGACTGAGCTGGCGTACGGCGCCGCCGCCGGAGCCGCCACCTCCAACGCCGCTGCTGCCTGCCGCCGCCGCTCCAGCGACCCCCTCCCCCTCGACTCCGCCAACGACCCCGAGGACGAGAAACAGAAGGGCTACGGTGAGACGCCGGAGACACTCCATCCTCTTCCTCTCCGGGCACGGGCAGGGGGCAGGGGTTTGTTTGTGTTTGTGATGGACGTGGGAGGCAGGCGGAACCGCGAAGGGGGTTAAGAGAAGAAGAAGTATACGCCGGGAGGGGTTTGGGGTTTTTTGGGTTTTCTCCGGTGCGGCCTCGTCCGGTCTTGAGGAATCTTCATTCGTGACACGCTGTGATTTGCACAGTCTGACACAGCAACAGAGGAAGCATTTGAACGGACCTTTGCTTGTTTCTTTTTTTCCCTTTTTTTTTTTGAAACTGCCTTGTTTTAGATTCAAATCAAAGAAATGATTAAACATATATCTATAACTAATTAGTAATGTAAATATATTAACTTAATATAAAAAATGATATGCATCATTCACTGCCGGAAACAATGATTTTCTCGTGTGCCAAAAACTCTCGGCAAACAGCACATGGCATTTACAGTGTCGACAAACAGATATTTACCGAGTGTTTTTTATCGCGCACTCGGCAAACTATTTGCTGAGTGTCAAATTTGACACTTGGCTAAAAAAGTGGTTTGCCGAGTGTTTTTCCAAAATACACTTGGCAAAGGATTATTATTTGTCGAGTGTTTTTGGAAATTACACTTGGCAAACCTATTTTCTAAAAAAAAATCTCAGCATACCATTATTTTTTGCCGAGTGTTTTTTAGAATTACACTCGGTAAACCTATTTTCCAAAGAAAAAACAATAATTTTTTTCTCAGCATACCATTATTGTTTGCCGAGTGTTTTTGGGAATTACACTCGGCAAACCTATTTTCCAAAGAAAAAAATAAATTTTTTCTCAGCATATTTCAGTTTAATAGCTGCCATACAAAACACTCTTAGTACACCATATCTGCATGCACACCATGTTTCTGGCAACATAATTCTCATAATAACCACATGGACATAGAAATGAAGATGACAAATTGAAGAGACTAATGACAGATATAAGTTTAGAAGAATCAACATCCAAAAAAAAATCAAAAACTATGCTATCAAAATAGTGAAGTAAAACCATCAGCGCCTGGGCGATTGCCAGAATCACCATAATTCAGATGTCTGCATCACAATCACAACAGACCATGTGTTAGTCAAAAGATGCAAAGCTGAAAGACAGGTATTGAAATGTGTAGCAGTGCGGTCAGTGGTGAGTAATTGACATCTCAACTCGGTTGTTTCCTAAAATGATTTCATCCATGGAGCATAGTTTGGAACGTGAATAATATATGTACTAGATGATAGGGGTTTGAAACATCTGCTAATTTTTGACAGTGTATATGCATATCTTCATTGAGATACTGGCCTTAAAAGTCGACTTGTTCGCTTTTTTTTTTCAGCCGGAATAGTGTTTTTCTCTCCCAACAATTTAGCCGGAACAGTGTTTTCAGCCAAATTCAGCCAAACGAACGGGACCGATATGTAATAATAAAATAAAAACAAAGAATAAGCAAGTCACCATCACCTCCTAGCAAGCTCAATCAGCAAGTCGGTAGATATGCGGAACTCATTCACTAAATGTTATGTCCTGACAAAGCTGAAGAGAGACGCCTGATGTCAACAGAGTTCCTCGAAACCCTTCCTCAACCTGTAGCATATCACTGGTGACACACATGATCACAGACTATTGCGGAGGACACCGTCGGCCACGGCGGCTGAGGGCGGGGATCCCGAAGCGGAGGACATCGGGAGCCGCAGCACCACCACGCCAGCCTCTCCACCATGCCTCTCGCCGACGCCACGCCACCACCACCACCACCACCACCACCACCACGCCTCCCGCCGACACCATGCCACCACCAGCACCACGCTGCCACCGGAGAGAGAGAGAGAGAGAGAGAGAGAGAGAGAGAGAGAGAGAGAGAGAGGAGCAGCGGCGGCCGGATTTGGGGAGGAGGAGGGGAGGGGCGGCGCCCGGATTCGGAGAGGGTGGGGAGGGCGGGGCCACGCCGAAGAGGGAGGGGAGTGGCGCGTCGGAGGAGGAGAGGGAGGGGAGCGGGCGCGGCGGCGCTGGAGAGAGGGCGCGGGCGGGCGAATCTAGGGAGGAGGGAGGGGAGCTGAGGGCTGGGCGGATCTAGTGAGGGGAGGGGGGCGTGGCGGAGAGGGAGGGGAGGGCGGGCCCGCGCCGGCGTCGGAGAGGGAGGAGGGGAGGGAGGAGAGAGGCGCGGAGGCAGCTGGGAGAGGGGAGCGGGGGCAGGGAAGGAGGGGTGTGCGTGCGTGTTAAGTGTGCAGCGGGCGGGGGCTTTGCCGAGTGCCCTGGATCTGGCACTCGGCAAAGCAGTGTTTGCCGAGTGTCCTAGATCTAACACTCGGTAAAGGTTTTTTTATTTATTTTTCTCTTTTCAAGGAGGGACACGTGGCACGATGTTTGCCGAGTGTTTTTCCCATATTTGCCGAGTGCCGGAGTTTGCCGAGTATTTTTTAGTATAATTGCCGAGTGTCAGAATGTTTGTCGAGTGTTTTCTAGTAAGGCACTTGGCAAACAGAGAGTTTGTCGAGTGTCAGAATCTTTGCCGAGTGCTTTAGTTTAGCACTCGGCAAAGGGATGGTTTGTCGAGTGTCCGATAAAATACACTCGGCAAAGCCTTCGATTTCGGTGGTGATTTAAACTACTATGGCTAATAACATTATATTAACTTTATTATCTTAACTATGTATAAAGGTTAATTTCAATATGGCTGATCATATTAATTTTAACTACTTTAGTTATTCATGAATATATTTTAAACAATTTTTTGATAAATATTATTTATAGTTTTATTGATTTTTGATATACTTAATTTAACTATTGACATATTTATTAAATATGTTATTTTACGAGTTGCCGTTATCTACATGTGTTATATAATATCATGTTATTTACATATGTAATGATATTTTGTTCTACTAAAACCGTCGACAAGCAAATAGATACGTGTTATCGTAAAAACATATCCGAATGCGAATCCAATAATATCTGCATTTTGTATCCGAATCTGAATTAAAATGTGGTAAATAGTAATGTCTGTATTCAATTGCATGCGGACCTGATCCGAACCCAACCCTAGCGGCTGCTACACCGCGCGCCTTGAAGTGAGCGGCGACGTGCGTGCGACCGCCGCGAATCTCACCAGCCCATGTGTGCTTTAGCGGGCTAATTCACAGAGTAATTACGGTTTCCACGAACTATTGGGCCAGGCTCCTTAAAATTTTCTTTTTCCTGTTGCTTAGAGCAAGCCTAATAATACATGTAATTATTTAGCTACAAGTCAAATTTTAAGCGGCAGACCGTACAATAGTTGTCTCTTATTTGTTTATAAAAAACATTTTCATTATTACTTTTACCCATGTCTTATCTTCTCTTTCTTAATCCTTCTCACATTCACTCGATGTCTAGACCCACCACTGCATAGGCTCTCATGCCCAGCTTGTTTGCAGTAGAGGTAAGCATTCCTTAATGTCTTCTTTTCTCTCTTTCACATCAGCAATTGCCTAGCTATAAAATTATTAATATACTTGCTCTTAGGGATACAAGGTGGTTATCATGCACACACAAATAAGCTTAATTTTAAACAAAAATCTTATTTTGCAGCTTCATGGACAAGCCATCTTGCATCCCTACACTTATTCCAAAGAAACATAACATCATGCACCATTCCATTGTGCAAACTACTCGCTCCATTCTCTTTTATAAAGCATACACATATTAAGATTTAAACTTTAAAATCACATGAACAATTATTTAACTAACAATTTTTAATTATTATAATACAAACTTAATACGATTAGATTTTTAATTAAATGTACTATTCAATTATCATGAGTCTAAAAGTCTAAACAATATAATATAAAACAAAATAAATAATCAAAGTGTAATTTATGAGACCATGTTATATTAAATTGTGTCTTATAAAATGAAATGGTAGGAATAATAACATCTCTTATCAAAATAAAAATAATAATTCAAAAAAGCAAGAAACAAGCTTGGGGTCTTGGGGAGAGGAAGCAGATAGATGCAACGCCAAGCACGGGAACACACCCTTTGGGCTCACTCTGTCGACGAGCGGTGCCTGATCGAGCATCCCACCGGCCGACGCCTCAACAAGCAGCACGTGACGGGGGTTCGGGGCTGTAAATTTTCCGAGTCTCGGGTCCCTGTCGGGTTTTGGGTCCTCGTCGGGTTCGGGGGCGAATCTTCCCCGGAAAGAGGGTTCGGGTTTCCTTCTCGGGTTTTGGGTGTGGGTCCGCGGACGCTGCGCCCGCCCCGAACCCAACCTGTTGCCATCCATACTTGGGGAGAGGAGCATCGAGAGGAACCCCCTGATGGCGATGGAAATCCATGGTGGCTCTGAGTCCTCCCCCCACCCCTCCCCTTATCATTCTCACACCATTCTCTCACGCCTACTGCAATCTACTTCCTTGAACGTTCCTCACAAGATTCCTCCCTCATCCTCATGGTATTTCTCATCATTGAGTGAGGTCTCGCAACAAAGGGCGACAAGGAAAGGATACGGTTCCTGTTTGATTCCACGTCGTGTAGATTCTAACATTGGTTGCGGCAAATGGCTTCCCCTTTGAGGGGGTGCAAGAAGACATGATGAAGTTTAAGCATACTCCGATCAAGCTTCAGTGTGCTCGTCATAGTGCCGAGGTCCAGAGTAGAAACGGAAATCTCGGAGGGGAGGGAGAACAATGGTTGATGATGTAGTGTGGGCTAGGGTAGGACAGGATCGCCAATCAAGATGGTTCTGGTCACCTTCCAAGGTATACATCATACTGGGGTTCATTGGGGACGTGCCCACGAATGAGATATGCAGTGAACATCCGAGCAGGCATGAGCTAGAAGTTGAAGGTGACCCTGAATCGGGGGCACCACCTCATTCACTTGGATAACCTAGATGAGGGTTCAAAATTTTCCCCATCCACCTCAAATACTACTCCCCAAAAATCATCTACGGATTCTCAAGTGTCACCAAGTTGGTCAACTGCCTGTGGAGTGGAGCTATGAATAAATCATCTTGCGATAGTAGTGAGAGTTGAATCGGCTCCCAGAGTCTATGTGCCATGCAAAATCGCGGTGGTGGTCACCAAGGGGGTTACAACCA